ATTCAGGAAAAACAACGCTCCCAGAAAACGGCCCTCGAATGTAGCTGGAGACGTTCAATTCGTCACTGCAGAACTCTGGAGGGGAAATTGGGTTCTTTCAGTCAATTTTGGCAGATTTTTCGGAAACCACTGTGTAGCTTCACTAGAGCCTTTCTACGTCCTGCCGTTTTCCATGCTTCCGTTTTTTGGTCAACCGTGCATTACTCAATCTGTTTTGAGATTTGATTTATTGCCAGGACTTCTCGTAACGGATGACAGGGACACGGAAAGACCTTGATGGTGCCGTGAAAAATTCCAGCTTACGCGAAATTCACAGAAGTATAAAGTATTTTTAAAACATTTGCAATATTCAGAAATTTGCCAACTGAGTGGCACAAATATTTTTCCGAAGGATTGTCGGGGAAAGTAATTTATTCTTATTTCTGTAACAGAAAGACGATAAAAATGATGATGAAAGGAACTAAAGATAACTTCAATTAATCTCAAAACTACCCCAGGTCTTATTGAAAGATAGTCAAAGATTACTTTAAAAAGTGGCAAGGCATTGTGCCGTAAGGGGTTTTGAAGAGGCCAATTAATCAAATTCACTCCGCACGTTATAAAATCGTACACACATAATGACAATAGAGTATCCACCAGTCAATGTTTTTTGTGCTTGGTTGTACTTGGAAAAAACACACACTCGTCAAATTGGACATTTCTCTTTTGTGGAACTGCAGCACAGTTTTGATTAGAAAAATCTTAATCAGTGCGGCTTCAGTACCAGGGTGTGTATATATAAGAAAGAACAAGGTGGTCCACTGTGAGGGGCACTAGACACAAGGCGGTCCACTGTGAGGGGCACTAGACACGTGGAATAATTCAGTTCAGTTTTGTTCATTTTATTTCCGCAGCGCCATCATAAACTTTATGATTTAAATAATTATTGAAGTATGATAGTGTTAACAATCAGAGGCGCTGAATGGGGACATATTAAAAAGCAATGTTTGTAAGCATGAACCCTTTTGTATTAAAGTTACATTTACTTGTAAACTATCTGAACACAGAACAAGACTGCAGGGTCCAGGACAACATTAAACACACTCCAGTCCAGTAAAATTTCTAACTAAAGTAATCAGAAACACGAAAATGGAATTTCGAACTGTTTGAAAATTTTTAAACGGACACCTTGTGACCGTCCGGTATTCTTCAACCAAACGGCAGTATCGCTCGCAGAATGATGGGCTTCGTTAATATAAGGGGGGGGGGGACAAATAAATTTTAATGAAATATGAAGCCACCCCTTTGAGGAGAACGGATATTTGATGCCGACAACTTTTCCAGCTAACGTTAAATCTGAATCAGTAGGGGGGGGCCGGAGATTGAGGCTTTGTGTAGTTCATGGAAGGCGACAGGTGTATTGATGAATTAATTTAAACAAAGAATCGGGGAAAACTGTTTGGATATTTAAGTCTCAAGCACCTGTAGTTAAAGGTTTGAATATTGGCATGGTATTCATGGATTCGTTTTATTTGGAAAACATTTCTAACATTTAACATTTAGACTGTACATTTTTTAATAATTTGGTTTACCAAGTCAAGACCTTTAAATTTAATTTATTTCCTGCTGAAGAAATATTTTCATATCATGCCTTTTTTGGACCTGAAGGAGAAGTAAATTCGGAAAAGTAGCCGAGATTTTGAAGAAAACAAAATGAAGACATTTATCTCAAAGGCAGCACCGATGTGGGATAATGGATGTGAATGGGGGGGATTCCGAAGTTTCCGGTGTTTGTACCAAAAAAAAGCAGAATTAAGGATCAAAACAGCATGCTTTATGAGTAGTTGATACGGGGTAGATATTTAAGAGAATTATGCAGAGGATTCTCTTTAAAAAAGTGCATTTTGCACTTTTTAAAGTCTTGATTTCCTGCAACCTTTCCGCGGGAATGCCCCAGCAGGAAAGATTCCCATTACGCCTGTGCCAAGGTATTTACGACAAGTTTGAGAAGAACTATAAATGCGGAGACCTTCGGGGTTAACTGTTCCACAGCAGCACATGAATGATTACTTCAAATGTCATTTATCGCAATTTTTTCTTTTGGAAATATTTTGCCGACGAAGGAGAAAATAAAGGATTTGCGGCATCAAGTCGAGTATTACCTCCGGGGCTCAACGAAGAAAGGTTCAATGTCCGACGGATTTAGAGGTCTGCTACTGTCGACGGCAGATTCCGTGTATTACGATGGATGTTTATCACCACATCAACTCATGACGAGACTAAATGCTGATTTGAATTTCAGGTTCAGAGCAGCTCCTTTTGTACAGGGCATTCGTTCCTGTCACAAAAATAGACAAAACTTTCTTTCAACGTTTGAATATTCTCCCCAACAGCAGTATCTGCAAGTGATCACTGAGTACCACAGGGTAAAAATATTTGGTGATAATTTTGGCTATTTTAAAGCTAAAATTTAAAAAAGTAAGATAATTAATATTCACTACAAATCAGAGTCGGAGTACCTACGTTTCCGAGAGTTTTTCACAGTTTTTTCTCCTGTTTAAATTTGTTTCTGCCCCAATTGTCAGCCTACCAAACTCAGAGGTTGCTTATACGTGCTGTTAGATGGAATTTCTGTCTGAGTTCAGCTGACTTTAAGCCTTCTTATTTTCCCCTCCACCTTTTAAGCTGGCAAGAGCTTAGGAAAATCTCAAAGCCATTCATCCCGGCCGATTGCCTGATTTGAACGGAACTGCGCTTTAATGACAGACGAGCCATTGAAATATTTGATCGAGTCAATAGAACCTTCTCTCAATTATCTGGACCAATTCAATTGGCGGCAAGCACTTTTATGGCGAGGCAGGTCGTTTGCACACTATTGTGTGCCGCCCAATTCGGCTGTTCCGGAGTAGTTCATCACTTATCGGAGGTAGCGCTGTTTTTTTGGTATTCCCCGCGAGGGCGGTGCAAGGAGGAACTGCCGCGTGATTCCAATCGGGTCTGATGTGGCACCTGCTCTCCTGGCTAACTGTCACCTAGTCGTGATTGTTGTCGGGCGGATGGAGGGAAAATGCGCCTTAAGCTCAAAGGGCTGAATCAATTATACATCAGGCGCACCTTTGGTGTCATTTCTTGTTTGTGGGACGGACCAGAAGGTTCAACATTATCAACCGTGAACTGTCGTGCCGATTAGGTTTCTTTGAATCTGTTGAAAATGGAAAAATGCGTTAGGTCGGTTTAACATATTTTATTGGATTTATTCATCTTTATACTCAAATAGCAAACAGTTATCTGTTGAATATGATTCGGATTCAAACATAATTATTGTAATTATTATCTACACCTTGATATTTACAAATGGCTGTGAAAATTCTTGCTAATTGACAAATGGCACTTTAGCAGTTTCGTCAAGGAACTATAATCTGTCGTTTATATTGCAAGATAACCATTATCAAAGATAATTTACCCTGTCTACGTTGTATCCAAAGTGCAGAGTTCCCCTGGCTTTGTACACTTTGATTAAAATTTTAATTTGATCAACAACATGAGATTAAAATGACTGGGGGAAAGGTGGACAGAAATGTTGATTGAGAGACAGACGCAATTGTGGTTGACATCAATCATTCACAGGACGTAGCAGCCCACGCTCGGCGCAACTCCCGGGTTAAAAAAGTACATCTACACGCTTTAAGACTGACTTTTCCCCCTTCCGAGCTGGCCAAGTATCCAGCTGAACTCCTTGCACGGTTCGACACGATGACGTATGGCGACCCGTGAAATCCAACGCGGACGTTAACCGCGGCGGTAATTGGTTCGGCCGAGTACCTCCTCGACAGGGAAAGTTCAATTTAGGGCTCGTCGTTGTTTAAGTAGAGCAAAAAAGGTCACGATTTTTAGGTACATCCGTCTTGTAGAGAGACCGATTTAGCTTGTCACGGATGCTACTACTTCTGCCTGCTAAGGTTCAGTAAGTGGCCAAAAGAGGAAAAGGCGATAAGGGTTTCTTTTGACAGCGTTCATTACGAACAAATATTCTTCGAATATATAACATATTTCTTTGAATACAAACGGTGCCACCGTGACTAATGTGTTTGTAGTTGTGTTTTTGGACAGGGGAATTAAAATCATTTTCTTTGGTGAGCGAGGAATAACAATGTACTGTTAGTTTAGAAAATTGCTCACAAATCAAATCGTTTAGTATAATTCTGGAAAGGAAGGACGAATACATGCCACAGGATTCAATTTTGTCACTTTCCCTCTGCTTTGTTTGTTTGCCTTTGCTTTTGCTTTGTCCTTTGTAATGTAACCTTATTAGGAGCAGGCCATCTTAATAGAAACTCTCTTTGGGTCGGCAAGTGTTACAGATATGACTGTCCCTGGCAGGAATATACACGATGGCACCTTTTTTTCACGCGCGTATAGGAGTTGAGCTGCTTTCATCAGCACCCACAAATTTGAGGCGCTCGTTCAAGCAGTTTGGTATTATTCAATGACTGTGTGGAAAAATGGAGTAGGCAAATGTTTACCTACTTTGTACATTGGAAAAGAGGCCTGACTGTAGAAACTGTTCGAAGTACCCTTTTGAAGCTGAGGTAAAGTAAGTAGGAGTATCGATACCGGTATAAGAATATTATGCAATTCATCAATTAATGGAACACTTTAAGATACCGTGATGCACCCAGAATGTGTAGTGTGGGGAGGGGCTCGGACCTGAATTTACCCCCCCACCACCACCACCACGTCCGCCAAAAAGTAGCTCATGGTGTTCTAGCCCTCCCCCTCCCCAGTTGCGACACAGGGGACTGGGATGTACGTACGGCTGTATAGGTGGAGGCTTGTCTCTTCAGAAAGTTAATAACAACAACCCCCCGGCGGGAGAGCTCAAGCCTCCGAGGCTACCCAACCCCCTGGCGCACTAGAGGGATACAATTCAGGTTCTTTCTGGAGATTATTTTAGATTATTTGTAAGTAACCTTTCCCCGATAATGCGTGCTTGTTTCCGTATTGTTTTTCACACTCGCTAGATGCTACGCCGTGCTGTTTCCCTTGGAGACCAGGTCGGCCATCACCATGGGCCGCACCCGTGTGGCTATTCTCCTTGTCTGGCTCTTCTCCTTCGCAACGTGCACCCCGGCTTTCTTCTCCAAGGTGGATTTTTTTCTCTATTTATCTTGTGTGTGGGGGAGGGGGGGTTGTTCTAATGCCATTGTTTGAAGCACGTATAGCGGCAATAAGAGCAAAAGACTGTCTCGTCTTCGCCTTTGGGTAGGGCTGGATTTAAGCTGGTGGAGCCTGGAGCTGGGCTAGCAGTATTGAAAAGAAGTCTTTCCTTCTGTTCAGAATACCAATCTGCAGATTGTGTTCTTTCCAGTCTTCATTATGCTCAATTAGATCAGATCTTTTTGAATCAATAATGCTTATGGTCAAGGCTGGATCCGAAGGGAGGTTTCAACAGGGGCTATGTCCCCCTCCAAAAAAAGATTAAAGATGTTCATTCAGTCTGCAACAAAATTGGTCCAAAATGAATCAGTTCATCTTTTGCACGTCTGCCGGCTTTTACCCTCGCTTATAGTTCCAGGCGACAATCTCATCCATCAGCTATTCTCCTCTCGTCCCTTGCCCGCCCGATGCCGAACCATTCACCGCTAGCCTTGCGTACTGAACTCTCACCATTCTCAAGACGGATTATAACGGGGCGGTGAACTCGCCGCTCCAAGCACGTACTTTTCGCTCACTTTTTCCTTTATCTCATCCTCCGTCGCCAGGAGGTCTGGAGCTGGTCATCCTTTCTGTCACAAAAGGGAATCAAACTGGGAATTATTTTTCTGATTTATTCAGCAGAGGCGTCGCAGAGTTTCGCACGGGGCCACTAATCGGTACTGACTATCCATTCAACTATATTGCGTTCATATTCTTATTGTGTTGGTTTGAACCAACTGAACCTTGCACTCATAAATTTTCTGACAAGGAAAATAACGCATTGAGGCCAACTTAACCCCCGAAAGGCAAATGTTGCATATCAAATTCCTACTTCAATATGATCCTCAAAGTCAAAGGTTGCACGACATTTTAAAAATCAATTGAAAGAGACATCAGAAATCGCAGAGACCGTGTCACAGTTATTTCTCCAGGAAGAAATGACGCCAAGAGGGCGCTACACTATATGGCGATGGAGCAACCTTTACAACAATACCGTGGAGTGGGACGCGAGCGAAAATATTCATAAGCGTTTCTGTTAATGCGCTTTAAATCTCATGCCTTAACTTCAAAAATGTTAATAAAACAAAGTAAATAAATCCGATTAGGTTGAGTTTTTAGACCACGAACTGATAATAAATCAATCAATAAGCCTAATCATGTGACTTATCGCATCAAGTGTGACTTTCCATTTTACGCCTCATGATTTGACAGATTACCGTAGAGGTCAGGTGGGTAAGCCGAGATTGGCAAGAGATTACCTCATAATAGGTTTCTGAGAGGTCGGAGGCCGTCCATCGTTCTTGGCGGATGTACGATTTAAATGCCATTAGAAGTTAAAAGCCTGCTTTCGCGGGGTTCGGGCACGACAACACATGCGCGTGACGTCGACACTTCGCGATCAAACTTTGCGGAGCAGATGAGCGGAAAATGTCGCTAACGACTTTACCTACATAAGCGAGTCAGCCGGAAACCAGTCGGTGGAAGTCGCACACTCCTGGACAGTTTTGGTTGGTAACCCGTACCTACCACTAAAGCAAGACAATCATACGTTTAACATGCATGTTCTATGACGTATACGTGTGAAACCGACTCTGCTG